AGGAATCCCATTTGCTCTAAAGATAGGAGTTTTGTGAATTTAAAGCCATTCACAATGGTTGAAAGGGGTGATCTCAAATAATTTAATTAGGTAGTTGCTATTATTAAACAAAATTTAGAGGCACGACAGCCCATAGAGGGCCAAGGCCTACTGTGCCCATCTCAGTTTTCTTGACCTTGGGCTCTGGAGTGCAGGAGCAGATGTTCCGGTCAGATGGTCAGCCGAACGCGGAACCCCCAGTGTTTAGTTCCCAAGCATGCTTGGCACTCATTTATTGACCCACTGAATTAAGAATTAAGTTTAAATTTCGTAGAAATTTGTATGTCTTATAATTCAAGACTTTCGCAACTATTACAAAATATAAAAGGAATAATAAATTATTAAACTATTGCTTATTTTGGGATAAATAATGTTCCTAATTGAGTGAAAAAATGCTTTGATACTCCTTAAATACTGTCCCGCAGTGGACTGATCGTTAAGACACGGTTCCCAGCAGATCACCGAAGTCAAGCATCATTGGCTACGGTGGATGACCACTTGGATCAGCCTGCGAAGGGACAGAGGGTGTGCGGTATTGGTCCTCGTTAAACTGCTCTACCGTAAAGTGTTCGACTTCGCGTGCAGGTCTTCGGCAGAGGATTAAAATTGAGGCCATCCGCTCTACAGAGGATCAAAATTGTGATGGCATGCCTTCGGATTATCCTCAGGGATGTTTCCCAGCCCATTGTGCTGCTCTAGTCCGACGTAAGTGAACAACAACTACAACAACAATCCTTAAATATTTCCGTAGATACAGTTAAATACGCAAAAAAGTAAAAATATTATTAAAGAACACAAACCTTAACTAAACTATAATACTTAATAATTTATTAGGAAAATTCTGAAACGTGAGTGATAATTATTTTTAAATAATGAAAACCTTCCACTTGAGAGAATTTGCGTCGGCTTAAAAAATACTTGCATTATAAAGTTTTCATATCTCGATAATCACTGGATTTATTTCTTTGAAGTGTTATTATTTCAAAAGTGATTAAGAAATTTGCCTCAAATTGTGGATTTTGTCATTTAAAAATATTTAAATCAAAATGGTGCGAAAATTGTAACGATGGGCAATATACGTATACCTTGAAGGTCAAAAATTCAAATGTGTTAAAAAAAATTGTATTCTGAGAGAAAACTTGAAAAATATTTTATCAGCTAATCAAATAACATATAGCATGCCCTTAGAGCTATTTGCATGCCCTTGAAGCATGTTAATACTTGAGTAATTCGTTCATTAGATGAAATGTAATGGAGGGTGTGGCATTTTTTTTTTTACGCTTTAAAGTTTGCGAAGTTAGCCATCAAAATATATTCTAAGTTAAATAGATTTTAGGTTACATTGAGCTAACCATGCTAAATTTTCATGGTTTGCTACTCCAAGTGAAAAAAATAAATAGTAAGACTTACTTCTAATTACAAATTTCTCAATAAAGGTGTGTTTCTTCTTTGAACTTAAGAAAATATTAAGTACAAGAGTCACACGTGACTATACTGCCTTAAATTCAAGATAAGAAGTTCCAGGTAATAAGCATTCACTGTAGCACAATCTAAGAGTGCTAGGAACTATGTCTGATACGTAAAATAAACGAGTGCAGTTATAAAAAGATCACGTAAAAAAGATTGTGGAACCCGTGAATTTCTAAAAAAGATAAATAGTTCGGGTGGTTGTAGATTCAGAAGTTCCCCTGTATTTCGAACTAAAAATAGATTCAAATTTACCAGAATAGTAACGTAGTCGTTTATTATCTAGTGCGTTGATGATGACGTGGGCGATGCTAACTGTTAACCCGTTTTGGCCTACGATACCATGTATGAAACGAGCCTTTCAGACTCTAGCGTCCCAAGATCACGTGGGAATGATCTTAATTCTCTACTCTCTTATTATATCTCGTATAAATATGCATACGTACGTTTTAGAATGTCTATAAAAATATGTTTATGAAAATCGCTTTACCTTTCTACTTCCCCGGACCGTCAAATGGATTTTGATGCTTTTAATCTCGCTCTCCTTAATAGTGATTTGACAGGTTTCGATAACATTTTTGTTTCTTGTTTTGTTCTTGCTAGCATATTAACTTACCAGATAACGAAATTAAATAACATAAAAAATAGAAGAATTAAAAATTACATAATAATAAAAGTGTATATATGTACAATATTTATCAATTCACATATTTATCATATTTCATTCTGGAGTAAATAATGCTCGCAAAAATGTTTGTTATCAAATGATTTCTTTTTTCAGTAGCATCAATTTAAAAGCATATTGAATTGATAAATTTCATTCTATAAAACGAAGTTTATCTCGATCATTCTTTATATTTATTGATTTTAAATAATGGCAAATCAAACATGAAAAATCTTAAGGTAATAAATTCGATAAAAGATTCTGCACATCTGTAATTTTATTATTATTTTTTTCCTTTAAACCTTTTGATACAAAATGTGTGTTAATTCACAATTTCCATACTTTTTTCATTATTTTTATTAATTTAGGTCAAAATATATTTGTAAATTATGATATAATATTTTATTTTAATAATTTATGGTTATGAAATATAGCATGAAACATCGGTGCCTTATTCTACGTTCATGATAAAATCTTCCAAACACGGCCATTTCCTAACAATAAATTTTTTTATAAAATTTGCAACGATTTGCAGTAATTTAGATCTAAGACAAACAGTTATTAATCGCCTAATTTTTTTTTAGAAAATCAATAATTGATTATGAATATGAAAAAAAATTTTTTTTTCAAATTACTTTTTGGATTTTAATATTTTGGATTTTAGTACTTTTGAATTTTAGTACAAATATAATTACGATAATCTAACAGATTTTTTCAGTAATTGAAATTGTTTTTTTATAATTGAAAAATACTAAAATATATTTTTGCTTGTAATTAGAGAGTAAAGAAAAATTCATAAAAGGGTCACCGGTGTCTCATCTACGTCAAAGAGTTAAAGAAACAAAGAAAAGAGTAATACTGTAAACAAACAAACCGCACATAGATCTCTTTTTCATCGAAAACTCATCATGACCACAAGAGCTAAAATTAAAACACAAAAACAACAAATTTCAAGAAAAAAAAATATTAAGAAAATTAATGGACGATACTTACTCGTTGCAATGTCTCGCAAATTTGCCTGTCTTGTAATAACTTTGCTGTCTTGTGAAATTGAAATTAAATACAGTTTAAATGTCGCTAACATTCTAACGTTGAAACTAAGTAATCTCGTAATCTCCAAACGCTTTTACTTGCTCCTACACTGAACCAATATAAAATGAACATACATAAATGAATTTAAAAGGAAGAAACAATCATTAAAAAACTTACGCGAAAAACACAATCTTATTTTGAATTTAATAATTATTTTCATACACTTCCGACCACCTATTTCAGCGAATCTTAAAGCCTCACATTAACCAACGGAGAACCTTCCTGGCCGAGTGGCGTATCACCTGACAAACGCTGTGCAAAGCGTGGTGGTAGCGGGTTCGAATCCCGATGTTATTCTGGATGTATCTTCGTGCTGTCATTCTCTGTATTGTTCTATCTGTCCTTCTATTAGACAAAATTTTATAAGGCGAAATTGAGCGCCCAAGCTTTCAAATGTATGAAATTCCAATAAACAATAAACATTAACTAATGGGACTAGTGAGGATTAAAATAAATATCGAAATAAATTGTGTTTTTCCTGTAAGTTTTTTTAATGATTGCTTGTAAAAAAAACTTTATTTTATATTGGTTCAGCATAGACACAAGTAAAAGCGTTCGAAATTATTTAGCTTTCACGTGGCAGTGGGAAATTGTTTTTATGCCATATTGGCGGTAACGGGCTCGATACCCACGTTTTTAGGATCTTTAGATGTACCTTTGTATTGTTATTCTATAATTTTTGCTATATGTTTTTCAACTTGACTAAGGCCTACTATTTGAGCATACAAGCCTGCAGTTATATGTAAAAAATGAATAAAGTAAAAATAAAGAAAGAAAATTAAATCCCCCCCCCTACAGAACGAGGTGACTTCAATTTGAAATGCTTTAAAGATAATGCAAAAATGCCCATGTCAATACTATCTATTGCATGATCTCAAACTTTTGTGTTTTTTACCGAATTATTTTTCAGAAGTAGTGAAATGAGATTCGAACTCCGGTTTAGAACTTCAGCAAACATTTGGTAACAACTATGATGACTATGAATTAATTCAAAATCATGAGGCTGAAACATACTTGGAAACGCGCCTGGAAACGAACTTGAAAATGAACAGATGTCATGACCACTTCTCCTAAAAATTTGAAAATTCGCATTCGACTATTTTGTGAGTGAAATGTAACCTTAAGCAATTAGATCGATTATTTTCAATCAATCATTCGATTATTAAAATAATATTTATTAATATTTAAAATAGATACAGTTTTCTTTAACTAAGACTTAACTGTATCAGTAACGTAACTGTTACATAAAGAATATTTTACAATCAAGTTAAGCCTTGTCTTACAGCAATTTCGGTTGAATTCAGTAGCAGTTTAATAATAAAAACTTACCGCTAGAGAAGGTTTTTGGTAAATTAGACATAGCAATACATGATATTGCATCTTCATATTGTTCATCAGGAAATTCTTTTTAATATATTTTAGTTACTATAAAAAGACTTTTAATAATTTATAGACAAATAGATTATTTAATAATTGTGCAATAAGTTAATTTCCAATATCGCTGTGCAAACTTTATATACTTAATTTATAGTTAATTGCAAATTTTTTTTTTATTGTATTGTATTTTTATATTTCTCACTATAATGAGAAATGATCTCTCTATCTCTCATTAATATCATGCTGATGGCATTTTTGTTTATCATTCTTTCTCCTTTGTTTTTTTAATTTCGTAGTTTTGTTTGTTTGTACAATTGTGACCAGCATTAGCTGGGGTAGAATTGTAAATACGCATATTTCTGTGCAAAAGTTTAATAACATCTAAAGCAAAATTTATTTTAAAGCAAGGGCAGAATTGTTATTTTATTTTTAAGTACAATAATAAATTGTTGTTTCTTCTTATACAAGTTGAATGTGGGACAAAAAAGTTTGTACATTATTATCAAATTTGTACATTTTTACATTTTATGTTAAGAGCAATAGAAATAATAAAAACAACTGTAAATTTGTACATATCAAAGTTGATAATTTGAAATTCTCAGCATACGAAATGTTGGTAACAAAATGTTGGTATGAAACAACATGCTATTTCATAATACAAAATTTATTAAAGTCAACTCACACACACGTACAAACTTCACTTGCAAATAAATATATCAGGCAGTTCGGTATTTATTAAGCATGCATTTCATTCGCATCATTTCAATTTAAAAAATTACAAATCACACATAAACTTCAACATTATCACATGAATACAATGCGCTCTACTTTTTAACATTTAAAATTGCATTCACTCACCAAATTCGCTGTTAGCATGCAAAGCAGAAAATCTAAGTGGAAACTTATTCACAGCAAAAAAGTAACATAAATTAATAATTTAAAAATTCAACATAAAAGTAAGGAAAAAAAAAACAGCATGACAGCTGTTAATAGAATATGCGTTACGAAGGTACGTGATTTTCCCACTCTCTATACTTTTCCCTTCTCCATTTCCATGGTATCAACCAATCTTGCCCACTATTCACACTTCTATCTAAAACGAATTGCTAGGCGAAAAAGACGAGATTATCCGTTATCCTGGTAAAGGGAGAGGGAAACATATGGAGAGTGGGAAAATCGCGTATGTTTGAGATAACTATTCTATTTACAAAGAGCATAGTAAATAAAATTATCTTGCACCAGAGTTGAATTTTAAATAATTAAGTACGTAATTAAGTAATTTTAAATATTAAGATAAGTATTTGATTATTCCTGACATGAAGTATATATTCTTGACATGAAATATAATCGTACTATTTGCAGATCGTGATTACTTGTAATTACGCGACACGTATATGATTACTTTTAAACAATTGCGTTTATTCATTTTTCGTATTATTTACCTAATAATTTTTTTAACAGTTTTAATAGAAAAAATATTTCAAATTCCATATTATATAATATATATTGGACATATATTATATAATATTACATCTGACTTACCTGTAGTTGAAATTTCACATAGGAAAAACAACCTTTCATTGTCACACTGCACGGAACTTAAGCTCAGAGTTTTCGCATCTTCCATTAATTTCAAAACCCCACAATTTCCAAAGCCAGGAACTTCAGCTTCTTCTTCATCTCTTTACAAAACAACATTTTTTAAACATAATACAACACTTCATAATAACATTAAAAAAAATTAACAATCACGTGAAATAAAATTTTTTCAGATTAATTATTCGATGTTTTTAAGTAAGCTGTGAGAAATATACATATTAAACTCACACCCATTCGTGAAGAGTAAAAAAATAAATAATGTTAACAGATTAACGGAATAAACTCAAATGTTTGAACAATTCGATGCGCTCCACTTGTACAGCTTTCTCCGTTATTTCTGCATAATTTGATATTCTGTATCAGTTGTACAGAACCTTATTCTGAATTACATTTTATGAGTCCAGAAGAAGGACATACTATACTGACGTGTTGTTGTTGGCTAGTTTACGACGTCTATGTAGATAAGTTTGTTTACTCAACTCTCTTATTTTTTAGTTCAGCTTATTATACACTTACTAAAGATTCAAACAATAAGGATTTCGTCCAATAGAACCACCGATCTGCTTCGTTTCGATAACCTCTGGTCTCGATATAAGACTGGGTGTCCCCTTTTTTTTATATCTTATATCCGTCGTTAAACAGCCGACCCAATTTTGGGTTTACGACTGCGAATGTTCAACTCCGTAGCCTTGTAATTTTGAATCTAATCCAGAAGACAAGGAAACTCCTGGATCAGTATCCCCCAGAGGTATTGATTTGTTATGGGAACAAGGAGGACTTTGCGACTTGTCAGATTTAACGTGCATCAGTCACCATTTACTACACGGGGAGTCTTCAGCCGGCTGGGATCGAACCCACAAACTCTTGGATATGGGCCCAGTGTCCTAGCAACCAGGCTATCCCGGCCTTTGGGTACCCCCTCTATGTGTGTCCATAATGGGCCCACGAAAGCTGTAGGGCGGCGGAGGAGGAAAACAACTACATCCAAGGTTGAATAATGTTTTATGTGAGCATTTACTGTAAAATTTACGTGAAAATTTACTGTGAGCATTTTTTTTCCAAACACCAAAAAGCCTTATTTTCATATTTTGTAGAATTTTTGAAGACTAAATCGTAGATTTTATACTGATATAAAGAAATTCTCTGTAACTTTCTTTACTTGCCCTTTTCTCTATCCTCCTTCAGTTTGGCCTTGACTGCATCACATGTAAATTACATGCATAATTTTCTTAAATTGTTAATAAAATAGAATAATTAATTGATAATAAAACAGAAATGGAAGCTACCTGCTCACTAAAATTTTAATACTACTAAAGGATCCCTGCACAAGTCTTATGGAAAAATAATACTCTGTAAAATGGGCTGAAAATTTAATATGTTGTACTTCAAAACATTCTGATCAAATGTTCTCATTGACACGAATTCCAAAACTTGATAGCTTCCGGGATGCGAAGCCTCAAACCCTAATATTCATATATAATAATTCTTAATTCTCTAATTCCGTCACGTCAATAGAATTAACCAAAGAAATAGAAAAAAAAATAGCTGTTAATGATCTTTCAAATAAGTATTGAAAGTTAAATTAAATGATGAAAAAGCTTGTAACACGCCAAAATGTCCAACGCTAAATGAGTAGCTAGAATTTCATCGCCTTCTGAAGCCAATGCTGCACTCTTCAAGCATCTTCTACCGCAATGATAGTTGCCTATATCTCTTGTGTTTGAGGCTCCTTATCTCGGAAACTATCCATTTTTAGATTCTGTGTCAATGAGAACTTATGATCAGAATGTCTTGAACTACAACATTAAATTTTCAGCCAATTTAACAGAGAATTGTGCAAGGTCTTTTCCTATAGAGTAAGAAAATGTAGCCAGTCTTACCCTAGCGGGGGTGATTTAGCTTTTTCTGGAATGAAAAAAATTCTTTATAAGAATACCAGTACATCAACCACTTTTTAGGAGGGATACATTTTACACAACTAAACAATGAATATCTTGATTAAATTTGGCAGTTTCTAGTTCGAACATTTTAGCTCCAACAGACCTTCGAATCTAAGCTACCCGGTAGTGATTTTTAATGTTTAACGATCGTTAACTGGCGTTTACCAATCCCCTGTTTAGCACTTCTTTTAAATAAAAAAAACTTAATTCCTGACAATGTGTTAACTCAGGTAATACATTTCAAAGGAAATGAAAGGTTGTATTATTATCGGGACCAATTACAGCCAAGATTTAAAGTCTCCAAAAAATGAGAGCTATTCATTAAAAGCCTCTAGATAGCAAATTAGATATCAGGTATTACCTCACTGCTCTCTGCATTTTTAGATAGTTTACAAATTTTATAATGATAAAATATTACCCGCTGTTGTAAAGCCAAGTTCCATCATCTTGTTTTGTCAGTCCTATGTAAATACCTCCACTAAATAGGGTATTGTAGAAAGCTTGGATAACACTACTGCGGTCCTCTTCAGTTTTCATAGAAAATAACTGTCCTTGTGTGCAACCATCTAAGGCCATGTCATATATTCTCGCATCTTTTATAACTGTTAAGCAATGTTCTTCGTACTCCACATAATTGACCTCATCTAAATAACATGCTAAAAGAAAATAATTACAAATATAAATATAAAAACATCAAGGGATGTTGCAACACATTGGCAAGATATGGGGAAAGTGGTCTCAAGCGAACAAAATATCGTTTGGTAAAATCACTATTGGTTCAAACACCATAAAATAGAATTTCATTCGATTAACGTTGGTAGATTATCCTATAAATAAGATATTGAGGAACAGTCTCACTTGGTTAAAATGTCGTAGGGAAGACTAGCCTATTTATCTTATGAACAAACTGTCTAGGTCAGAATACACCTTAAGAACAAATTATCTAGGACCGAATACATCTTATGAACAAACTGTCTAGGCCAGAATACACCTCAAGAAAAAATTATCTAGGACAGAATACATCTTATGAACAAACTATCGAGGGACAGAATCAAAGTTAAAATAGTGTAGGACATAATATTAAATAAAGGGGACAAAATATCCTATCGAGGGACAGAATCAAAGTTAAAATAGTGTAGGACATAATATTAAATAAAGGGGGCAAAATATCCTATCGAGGGACAGAATCAAAGTTAAAATATTGTAGGGCATAATGTTAAATAAAAGAGACGAAATATCCTATCGAGGGACAGAATCAATGTAAAATATTGTAGGGCATAATATTAAATAAAAGAGACGAAATATCCTATCGAGGGACAGAATCAAAGTTAAAATATTGTAGGACATAATATTAAATAAAAGAGACGAAATATCCTATCGAGGGACAGAATCAAAGTTAAAATATTGTAGGACATAATATCAAATAAAGGACACGAAATATCCCATCGAGGGACAGAATCAAAGTTAAAATATTATAGGACATAATATTAAATAAAGGAGACAAAATATCCTATCGGGGGACAGACTCTAGGTTAAAATATTGTAGAACATATTAAAAATAGGAGACAAAATATCCTATCGAGGGATAAGATCTCATTCCATCAAAATATTGAAGAGACAGAATATTTCACAAACTGTAGCAAACCTCTTACTGACAAAATATCTTAGTCGGACAGATATCGTCAATCTGAATATCTTATGAACAAAATACAAGTAGTTATATAAATAATAATTGCTATAGCATTCCGTACACTCGGGATTTTTCCTTAAGAAAAGGGTCGGTGATCCTTTAACCATGAGGACATTTCCTCTGATAAAACATATTTTATGGGCTGCATTCATTTCATACAGATTCGATTTCGATTTTTGACAAACGAGGAGAAAATATAGTTTTAAATTCGTATAAAATTATTTCTATTTATTTAAGATGTATTTATGATAAACTTATTTATTTAATGGTATGAACGAAGAAATTGTTATATTTCCTCTTTCTACATTATTTTTACAAATAACTTAAAATGAGATATAAGATATATTTTTGGTCAACTATCTCTATTTTTAGCGACAGTCATATATGTCCAGTAGGACTTAATGTGGTGCCACTCTCATGTAAGTCGTTGAGAATCTTAAAAATTGATGCCTTGACCTGCGACAATTTGATTTTACAATTTTCATCCTAGAAAATGATTGTTCACAAATATGTCCTCCAAAGTCAGAGAACATATCAGTAAACAAGCCGTTTTATGCTTAAGTACGATGATAGATGGTCGTGAATAAATTGAAAAAAAAAATGGACAGTTTTGGAAAATGTCGTAAATAAATGGAATAAATAAAACTAAAGGTTAGAGATAAACTTACGTGAACTAGTTTTTTCGCACAACAGCGAAGCCCCACGACCACAATTATCAGGATTAGCTAAAAAATTATATCCTCTTCCAGTAGTTGCACAGTCTTCGCCGTTTGGATTCCTATACCAAAGTGGGTAATCTCTTTCTTCAATTTCAGTATCATCCCCATGATGCAGCCACGTTGTTTCTTCTAAAATTTAGTAATAATAGTATTAATACAAATATGAACATTTTGAGTGAACAGAAAAATAAAATCACTTAAATACTTAGGTAAAATCTAGGCTTCGTTAAAAAAAAAAAGTTATATTTTGTTAAAAACTTAGAACTTTGTATCCTGTATAGTTACAGTTCTCCTTATCCAGGAATTTCGGCCCTACCCTGGTGTTACTTTTCATAGTGTAATGCTCACAACAGCAAAAGAATAATTCAAGAACGATTGCTCGCATAGTTGAATAAAAAATAAGTCTTTTCCAGATAGTTTAAAGACAATGATTACCGTACTCCTCAAACTTAATATGAATTATTAATTTCTTTAAATTTAAATAAAGGAAAATAACACAAAATGTGAATTTATTTACTATGGTTTACCTAACTCACTATTGTGCCTTTGCTTAGCAAATCTTCCAACTGCAATCTTCCAATTTCGATCACTTTCTGACCAGCTCAATCTCAATTCTATAGTCTGTTCAACGAGAACTGATAGTGGAAGTAAATATAAGGGTTGCTATTTGATAGCCAACGTTTGCCACTTCAACAGTTGCTTCACTGAATGGGCGATTTCGTTTGAATCGACAGAGCTTTCGTTTTTATAGAAAAACGATATTCGGTTTTTGATACCTTAAAGTTAGATAAGAAAGAGCAAAATTAAAATATTTGCATGAAAATAAGTTTCTAATTGTTTCAGTAAACTCATAATTTTAATTTGAGAATAGTTTTAATGTATTTTTTTAAAGTTTAAATTAAATTAGTTTTATTATATTTTGCTTAAATATCTATGCAAAACAACTTTTATAATTCCATCGTAAAAGTCGTATAGAATTGAAAGAATATGTTTAAAAAAATACTCTTTATTTTCATAATTACAATTTTTTTTAAAATTTATTATAAGTTAAATAATATTTAAAATAGTTTTATATTTCCCCGATTGATTTAAAAATATATTTGAAGGAACTGCATTTATTTGCATTAAACTGTTATCTTTATTTTTCTAAGGGAAGTATGTGTGAAGCCTAATTTTTTTCTAACGGTAAACAAAATGCCGTTCTTTTAAAGTTTGGTAAATTAGAATCATCGTCCACAGCTTTCAGAACTTTGTTTATTGTCGGAATTTCGTTACGACGGAAAAAATCATGAACTTTTCTTCTTACAGCATTTTTGTCGAAATCGTCAATATCATCCAAAAAAGTTTTACGAGATATAGTCTTCTTCGGTGAAAGCAATATATTACCCCTTTTATATTCTTTAATAATTCTGAAAACAGAAGCTGTGCTAACTCCCGATGCAGAAACCGCATGGTCAGCCACATCAATGATTTGAACATCTGGTTTTGAATGCACTTCTGGTTTATAAATGTTCAATATTATTTCCTTCTCAGCTTTACTTATGAAAGATTTCTTCAGCCGTTTTTTAGGAGGACATAAATCTATCACTTTATTTTCCATATTGCTCATGAAACACCTGCAATAAGACACCACGGCGAAACAAACAACCCTCTAAGAAATAAGAGTTTTTGCTTGACTGATAATACTATTTGGCATTAATCCGGAGCCAAGCAGGCAACGGTATTGCGCCAAATAGCACGCCGCTTTGTTTACTTTCACTATCAGTTCTCGTTGAACAGACTATAGTGCTCAAATTTCAACCCGAGCTTTGCGCTTAAAGGCAATAAAAGTTGTTTTAATCATGTACTGATTGTTACAAAAAGCATTTATTTCCTTGTACATTCAAATAAATTTCTTATAGACAATAAAAACTTCGACCATTTTCTGACATGACAGAATGTTCTAACTACAACTGAAATTACATGCTTGATGGAAATATCTGTTTCAATAATGTTCTGTACTAGTACTCCACAAACAAAATTCACCATTATTTTGTCGCCAAAAAGAAATTCCCGCCAATGAAAATTTCGACAATTCTCTGACTTTACTCTGGATTGACAAAGTTTAATTTTTTCTTGATCGTTATAAGCAGATTTTATTTTCATTTCTCATTGAGATTTCGCTAATTTTCGGGCATTAATAAAGGAACGTTCACAAAACTCAATTGAAAAATAGTAATAATGAAATGAAAAAATGGCGTATTATGTCACCATCCAAAATAAAATCTTTTTAGTCCATTTAATATATTCTATATATATNAGGTTTGTATTTGCTATATTCGGCTTAAATATTTTTTTTACTTCAGCCTTTAAACCTCGAGTGGGATATATAAATGAACCTATACTTTTGCCTTAACTTTTAACACTTGCTAAAATAAATAGTCCCTGAACACACTATATATATATATATATATATATAGGTGTGTGTGTATAAAATTCTGTTCCTGCTAAAAAAGAAGTGGCGTAAACAACTTAAAAAAGGAAGCTGTAAATATGTAAAGTCTATTTATGTTACACGCACCTTAGACGATATGCTACATCTGCACTACTTTCTTCAAAGGAAATTAGAAATGGTAGAAAAATTACATTTAAAACAAGTACATACTTCACTTTAGTTTTGATCTCATAAAAAATTAGAAATCTCATAACTTCCTAATTGGTTACTATGTTCTAGTAGCCAATATCTTCTTCTACACAGATCCGAGATAAATTTTCTCATATTGATATTAATTTTAAATACGGTGTTACTCATCGGGGTTTCTGAAGGCTGTTGTAAAAATAACTATGATGAATACAACAAAAATAAACCTTGTTCTAAATACAAACATGCTTCAAGTTTTATGCAAAGCCCTTACATGTAAGCCATTGATCACACCATATCAATGCAATAAACCAATTTCTGCCAGGCAACATGCCACTACGATATTTATAGAGCGTTGGATCCTTTCATACAATTGGCGTGTTAAGTAAAACACCTTGTTTTATTAAGCCACGTGATTAAGCCTTTAGTAACTGCGTGAAAGGATCTTATGTACTGTCAATACCATGATGAATGAAGTTGGACAGAAACAGGACTATGCCATTGATGTCTGCCGTGTGACGAAGAACGCGCACCTGAAAGGGCTGTAAGAGCAACTTAAACTATTTCCGTAATTAATTCAAGGTTTGTATTTGCTATATTCGGCTTAAATATTTTTTTTACTTCAGCCTTTAAACCTCGAGTGGGATATATAAATGAACCTATACTTTTGCCTTAACTTTTAACACTTGCTAAAATAAATAGTCCCTGAACACACTTGATATTTTACAAATGGCAATGAGCTTTACAGTTGCCAACATTAAGAGTAGGTAACAGAATTCTGATAGTACTTGGTCCAAAGGAGTCCTCCGCTCCTTTTCTTCGCATTGCCAGAAAAACTTCACTTGGCATCCAGCTTTCTGAGGCACTTTTCATAAGTTTCGACAATCCATCTATGAGATCGTCTGGGACAGGTCTTCCGAATTGTTTACCACCTCCTTCGTTATTACAATAGAAATCCCTGGCACCATCTGATGGCTTAGGGTCACCCAAATGAAGACATGTTGCGTCAGAAGCTTTCGAATATTTAGAAGGACAACCTGAAGATTAAACAACAATATTTTTTAATTCAAAAGATATTTTAGAAAGATCTTGGATCTTTACCCTAGAAAGAAGAAAAAAGATTTTTCTTAATTTTTTTTTTAAACATTAAAGCTTTTACAGAAAGGTATATAGGTGCCTGTGCCTTACTAAACTTTCAAATTTTTCCCAGTTACATTTTCTAAAAAAGAGCCAGAACATTTTGAAAAAATTATGAGGACAGTTACCAAAACGTATATAAACATCCCTGAGGTTGATCCGAAGTGTCACAATGTTTCTTTTCAACAAGGGAGATGGTTCCTCGTTTTAATAGTTCAAAGACTTGCGCACGAAGTCTCGCACTTTACAGTCGAACAGTTCAACGAGGGCCGATACCGTGCACCCTCGGTCACTACACAGGCTGATGAAACTGGTCACCCATCCATTTACTGACCACAACCAGTATAGCTTGACTTCGGAGTTCTACTGAAAATCGCGTCTTTACGATCAGTCCACTTTGGGACATTTACTAAAAGCTTTCGCTTTTAAAAGTCTTCATAAAGCGATATTCCGTGACGATTCAGAAATCAGGGTTTCAGAATTTTTTAAAAATTTCATCATTTTTAGGCTATTTTTTTAATTTAATGAGATAAAATCAAGAAACAGAAATGTTGCACAACAGAGCTTTTTTAAATGGAATTTAAAAGATAAAACCGTGGAAGAAATATACTTTTTATATGATTTCAGAAATTTAAATTTTATTTAAAATTTTGTCTGAATCATATCTGGCATTTGATTTTAATCAATTCTAAAAATGCTTTTGTAGTAAATATGTTTAAATTCAATAACAAAACAGCTAACATTTGCTTGAAATTAAGAAGAAATTTTTTTGTGTAAATCTTATACAATATGTTATGTTCGTTAAAATAATTTTAAGAACCAATTCTAGACAATTTAAGGAACTGAAATAACAGAATGCACAATTAAATTCATCCATTAAGTTTCAAAATGAAAAGTTATAATTTCTTTTATTAATTTACTCATTTTTTAAGTAGATTATTTCATTAAACATTCAATAATATTTACATTTTGGAAGAAGTATGAAAAAATGTTTTTAAATGGGAAAACACTAGTCACATTAAGTAAAAAAATGCATAAATGAAAATATGAAATACAATATTTGACAACCGTCAAATTTGAATTGAATTATTAAAAATTGAATATTAAAACTACACTTACTTTTAGAACCGACACTGAGCAAAATTAGTATCAGAAATTTTTTTATACAAATCATTTTACTCAATCATAACCATTAATAAATATTGCTAGAATTCTGGTACAATATATATACTGTTAAAATATTGATGTTTCTTTAGCAACAAAGAATTTGATGAATAATATTTTTCAAACAACTTCATAAAAACTAATCAAGTAAGTAGTTATCAACATTGATTCCAGGTATCCCTGTAATAAATTATTAAAATCCACTTTCATAATTGGGCATGCTTATGTCGTAATCTTTTTTTATTTTCGAATCTGTAACACTTTACGTTTCTAAGCAACACAAAAAGTTCTGGCAAATGTCATCACTAAGGCCCGGATTTTGATGACATTTGCATTTTTTTGCATTTTTTGCATTTTTGGACATTTTTTGTCCTTTAGAGCATTTTTTGAGATTTATAGGGCATTTTCTTTAAAATTTTGGGGCGTATTTTGCATTTTAAAGCATTTTTTAAATCTTTTGTTAAATTTTTCTAATTTTTATTACTTTTTATTATTACACTGGCTTCCAAACAATGAAGAAAATTTCTAGGATATTAACAGGTGAAGCAACATCTTTTCAAATTGAAGAAGAATTGTCAGTAAGTGTGACCGTCCTTTTCAAGTACGCACCAATAACATCAGTAGACGTTGAAAGAAGCTTCTCCTGGTATAAAAATTTGCTTTCAGACAAGAGACGCTCGTTTACATTTCAAAATATTAAAAAAAAAATTTAATAATCCACTGTAATTCTGATATTTAGTAATATTATGAGATGGAAGTTGTTATATTCATTTAAGTTTCTATACAAAATGAAAATGTTTTGGAGTCAATATATTTTCCTTTTTTTTTTTTATTTTAGGATATAAAACATATTTTTCAAACTTTAATGAACGTAGAACAAGTATTGCATTGCTTTATATTTTTTGAAACGACTCATAATAATTTTAAAGAGTAAAACATTGTTTTAGTTCAATATTTTTACTTCTATTTAAGTCATGTCATAAGGCATTTTTAGCGCAATTTTCGCATTTTAAGGGCATTTTTTGCACTTTTAAGGGCATTTTTTGCAGTTCATAAGGGCATTTTTTGCACTTTTTAAGGGCATTAATTAAAATTTTTTAGGTCATCAAAATCCGGGCTCTAGTCATCACGTTTTTGCTTTCTAAATGATATTAGATTGCACTCTTTTTGTATTTCTAATTGTATTCTATCAAAACTTACTAAACTCATTTTTGGAAATCAAAATTTGTTCCATAAAATCTCTGTTTGGAATTTTTATTGTTAGCATATATAGTAAGTACTCTATAGTTCAAAAAATAGTATTAGATCGCTATAGAATTTCTGATAATTTAGCACAGGGAATCATGCCTATATTTTTTTTGTTATTGATATCTTAACAAGGCAAATGTTTCTTATTCTTGAAACGTGTTTCGCTTCTACTCAAAATGAACGATCTTTTTGATATAGAGGCCCACAGTTCTACTTTGTATTAATACAGGTGAGACGTATAAATAAAAAAAATAATAAAAACTGTCTAAAGTCGCTGGAAAATCTCATTTATCAATAATTTATATTTAGGAGGGCAAATAATTTTTCTTTACAACCTTTTCAAACTTTTTTTTTGCTACGATGCAAAATCAGGGATCATATTGGCGTGACTTTCCAAGAAGCTATGATAAAATTAATATTTTTCATATTAAATAGCATAACATATATTCCTTATTATGTAATATGCGCCGCATTTTTGGGTTTTCACTATTAAACAAAACCAGAGAGTAATTAAATGGATAAGCAGGAAAATAATTCATAAAATAGAACCAAGAGAAAAATAATGAGTTACATATTGAATAATAATATTACGCTATATAATAATAAAATTAGCAAATTAAATCTTTATTATCCCTTTTTTATTACGTGTTTAGCACAAAAAAACGTTCAAGGTAGCAAAAAAAAGAAAAAAAAAAAGAAAAGAAAAGAAAAAAATTAATCTTCAAAAAGATTTGGCACACTGTTAGACAAAGTAGGTTGGCAACCCATGAACTTATGTTACAAAAAAATACGAGATTATTCGTCTAAGAAAGCTTTGCTTCTGGTTTAAATAAAACGAAAAATCATGCACTTTGTTTCTATTATACCTTTGTATTCTATTGTTCATATAAAGTTCTATTTTACCCAACTACAAAAGTCTTTCGAAAGATTCTAAATTTATTCTTCGAAAACAAAAAAGGAGAATGCTGAGGACACAGGGATTTATAGATCTCAGGTAAACCGGCTTCACGTGAGGGTTCATCCGTTTACTTCCTGTAGAATTGGGGTCAGAGTTAATCATTTTTTGAGAGGAAGTGATCGTGTTGATGTTCAAAATTCACTACTTCCCTCATTTCGCCTACTTTCACTTTTCCAGCTAAAAAAAAATATTAAAACATTTGAAATCCGCCTAGGCACATTCTCGCCCATTTTGGCGCATTTTTCTAACAAAATGACATTGATTTCAGTGATAAAAAAATACCACGCGATACTGAAATTAATAACCGAACAATAGAAAAAGTTTTTTTAAAGAAGAAATATATGACAGAAAAAAATAAAAGACAATAAAAATAAAAGTTCATGAAGCTCTTCATTGTGATTTGTTTTTAATTGCAGTGGTTTGGGGTCGAACGATTGAGGTTAATATATCAAGGGGACCGGAAAGTAATGTCGTTTCGGTGTATTTGATGTTTGTTAATTACGATTTTATTTTTAATCAATAATCTATTCACTCTCATTAGCAACAACCTTTCAATGCCAGATCGAAAATGAATCGAAATAAATGAATTGGTTTTTAAGACTAACGAATATTTAATGCGCCGAAACGACATTACTTTCCGGTCCCTCTAATATTAATTTAATAACTTAATTGCTAACTAAAACGAAGAACTTTTTCTAATTATTTTAGGATTAGTTTATTTTGTTATGGCTTTCATTAGTTGATCTAATCATAAAAATAGTTCAACAGCGTATGTGGAAATTTGAGGTGGGTGTTAGAACCAGACTACTGTTAAAATAAGACAAAACAACAATTTAAAATATTAAATTTCCCAAAACAGATGTTCTTTAGTCATCTAGTTTTGTATTTTCTCAAGATATTATGATTTTAAAAATAATATTTACCCTTAACGGATCAATGCCGCCATTTAAACAGCATAACACTTTTAATTATACAATCCAATACCGTGTATATGAAGGCTAAAATCATTTTATTATTTTGACCACTTGTATTGTAGTCCTATTAGCAATAAATTTAATTGTAATTAATCATATAATTATAATTAATTTTATAATTAATTATTACAATTATTTCTGGCTGGCAGTAAACTTGAAATACTTTCGGACCGTTTCGGGTTAACAACGATAAAGGAATAAAACAAAAGTAGTTCTTTTAAGCTTTTCAGACGTAAATAAAAGCAAGTTTTCCAAAACCATAATTTAAGTGGCGATCATAAGAACATTTCATTTCTTATTTCTTTAAAAAAATTTCTAATACATTTAAATTTTTTTAAATGCATAATTATCATTGATATTAGGTGTTTTGTTTTTCAAAAATATGCAAAAACTTAAGAAAATGATGATCTGATGTATTAAAGCATGACAAAACGGGACATTTTTAAGACATAAAATAGCATACGAAGAAAACATTTTTAAATTCATCGAACCTTAACCTCGGTACGATTTAAGATGGATAAGTACTATATCTACATAATTCATGCGAAAAGTTAATGATTTTGGAAAATTTATTAAACAAAAACTGTGCATGAAAATGAATTATTTATTTGAATTTTGTTAGTAGCACAAATATTTGTCTTAATTTAAACAATGTACACGCAGAAGGCCTCTTACACAACTTAAAAACGCATTTTTACTAAAGTTTTAAAATATCCACTCATAGAACAACACTAACACCCAAATCAAATTTTCATTTCTGTCTAAGCCTTAAAATATAATAGTAAGTAAGGTCTTCTTGCAAGAATCCGTTGTGATTCCGGGGATATTAAAGCTCCACAGTTATATGATCAAAGGCATGATGGTGTTAATATGGTCAGAGTTATCAGTGCTAAACGATGATAATGCATTGCTTTCACTGCTGAGTCATTACGATTCCTAAATATAGCAAAAAAAAGAAAACAATTCTGCCGTAAAATTAAAAAAAAAAAGTACTTCAGAATTGAGGAAATCAGCTTGCTAACCATTTTCTTTAACTGGCTAATGGTATTAACGTTAAAATGTATTATTCGAAAAATTAATTAAAGAAAGTCTTTTTTTCTTTTTACAATATGTTGCATATTATACACAAAATGCCAAATAAATAAAAATATTAGTTGCGAATTTTTTTTAATTGTTTAGGTTGATTTTTCTATTGCACGTAAACAATTTTCATGTCATACAAAGTTTTTGATTATCTGACATAGTTCAATCATTTATTAACGGTTTATATAAAATTTTGACAAACTATCACTCAATAAAATTTTATTTATTAAGACTCTTATTTAATACATTGTAGCTCTTATTTTATACATAACTGTAATTTGGAATGTCACGTCATATGTCAGTGTAGTTTGTACAATCTATTACGGTTAAAAACCAATTGGGTACTTGCACTTCCAGATGAAGAAGATCACGGTCATCCACACATGATACCAATTACGTCAGCTGATCGTTTATAAGTATAATGGCGTGCTAAAGTTGAAATAAGTTTCCCCACGTAAGTTAGAATGTTAATTAACATGATGTTAAAATATAATTCTTTCTCGTCTACGGCTTTTACCTAACTTAGATTTATTATTTGATTATGCATTTTATTGTAACCGTGATATATTTTTGTTTTGTGTACCTGGCAACTTCAATGCATAATTAGTTTGCTTATGTTCTGCATGGCTTCGCGGCTGTCTTTTGGCTAAGTAAAAAATATATAGCGAAAGAATTAAAATCTCGTGAAAGAACCTTTCTCAAAGAATATAGAATATGTCGCTTAAAAGAATTGATACTTGACTGGTTTGGCTTACTCGAAATAGAATGGA